TTTTTAGAAAAAATACAAAGAATTTTCCTTCGTTCTTGGGCGTGGTTTTGCATGTGCTCTTCTTTTTGTATTCCTTGAACAAGAATTTCTCACACGTCCTAATTACGAGCTTGTTCTACCTGAAACAAGCTACCCAACTTGTGTTTGTTGCAATTGTCTTTTCTGCCTCTAGTTTCTTTGTTTATGCCCGAATTCAAAGAAAAGCTTTTTCATTCGGACGAACTTGGCGAGAGAGAATGAAAGCATTTTTTTTTCTCTGACAGGCGCTTTTGGAAAACTAAAGAAGCTTTGGAAAAGAATTATTCTCATTTGAAATGCGAACATTCTCACACAACAAAGTCACCGCGCACGAAAACCCTCTTTCATCAAAGTTTGTGATTTGTTGGTTGTAAATGGTGTGAGCAAATTCCTCTCGTGATCAGTGACGTATTTTTCAGCAATTGGTTTTAGTTTTTAATCCATATTCATGACATTTGTTGAATTTCTGTCAAACCAAACTGCTCGTGGATGTGTGAGGACGTGTCGTCCCGCTGAAGGCGAATTTGCAGCCTTGAAGGAAGACGACGCTGGTACAAGGAAGGGCTTAAAGGACCTTAAAGCTTGGACAAGCATATACTTTATACTATGGTGAGTATTGTTCTTGGAAAATGCTAGTCAAATTATGTCTAGGAAGCTGAAAGAGTCGAAAAATCTATTGAACGAGTCAAGCACGTGCACTCCCTGTTTGCTTTGAGCGTCGCTTCAACTCGAAGCTTGGCAGCAAAGAAAACTATTAAACCTTGGTTGCAATGTAACTGGGACGGCGGCCTTGGAGAAGGAGTTTTTACCGTTAACTAATGTTGCGTAAAATTTTACGAGAGTCGCACTTTATTTCGTAGTCCGAAGCTTCAAATCGTGAAACGTAGAAATAAAAGCTCGTGTTCACCAACAACTTGTAATTTAAAAGTTGACCTACGAGATGTTATTTTCGAATTTTTCTTGGCACTCGACGTGTATTTTTGCCATGGTGCGTCATAAACCGTTAGCTACAGGGGCTATTGATTTTATGTTAAAGTGCGTCGCTGTAAAAATTGGATACTTTACTGATCACTGGTTGTACTGCTTTTTCAGGAAACTGACTTGGCGAGGACAAAAGGAGTTCAACGGATCTAGATCATTTGATCAGAAGGAAATACTTCAAAGATAAGACCTTTAATATTATCTTCTAGTTGTAATCAAAATGGTGGCTGATCAAATTTAGGAATTTGTCGAGGACATCAAACTTGGTTTAGTGATCTCAAGTTTATTATATCAATTGTCTGGATCTACGAAAAAATGAGAAACCTGATATTCACTAATTGTCTGCTGAGATGTCAAATTTATTAACTGTCTGCGTCGAGTGAAGCGATTACAGAGTTCATATTTACTAATTGTTTGCTGTGATATCAGATTTATCAACTGTCTGTATCGAGTGAAAACAAGATCACAAACTTCAGAATTGCTAATTGTTTGTTTGTGATATCAAATTTATTTACTGTCTGCATCGAGTAAAAAGGCACAGTTATACACAGAGTACGAGAAATTGTTCTAAAAAAGTTGATTATCAGCCACCATTGCACCTTGAGCGATCGTTTTATCGGCTGTTAATAATTTGGCGGCGTTTACTTCGGAAGAAAGATCCCTTATTTTTTTATTTTGTTTTAAGTAATTTGGCAATATATTTAACATCGGGTGCAAAAACGAAACGAGTCGTAGATTCTGTGATGTCAATCGCTCAAGGTTTTAAGTTTATGTACCTCAAGTCATTTGATGTTGCAGATACATGTAATATTTTCATGGTGGCCCCGCGAGAAAACCCAGGCTACGGAGATGGGGTGGGTGTAAATAGGCTTCGTTGTTTTTAACTTGCATTGTTTTGTTTTTTTTTCAACTGGTAAGTTGTCGGATTTATTTATTTTTTTGATTTATATTGATGATTTATCTACTACACTTGATACTGCCACCTTGGAAACATTTACTCATGTGCTTCATCAACTCAAAATATCTTGATGACAAGAGAACAGCT